GTTATTACTTTTTCAACATGTGATTATTATCTCGTTAATAATTAATGAATTTAAGGGGTTACATGGGTTTGGGACTTTCAAAAAAATTTTTTTTTTTTTATTTATTTTTTCAATTCTACAACTCATCTAGAATATTGTATTCAATTTTGAAATCGATAAGAGTAGTAATTTTAAAGATAGAGCCCTGGGAAGTTGCACTCTTTAATGGCTCTTATACCAGCACTCAAATCTTTAAACGCGTTTTTCTCAAAACGCTTTTTCTAAAGTCGGTTGTCAAGATTTCTCGAAAACTATTTAACCGATTTTCATGAAATTTGCTACACGTCTTCGTGATACTATTGACAAGAACTTGGACGAAGGATTTTCGTTTTTTTCATAAAATCGAGTTTTAAGAAACCAAAATGTGGTGCAAATTGTAGCGAAATTTGAATGTTCTTGCTAAAAACGTTACCAAAAATCCAAATTTTAATTTTTTTCTTTTTCCTTCGTTCAGTTTCTAGTTTTAAGTATTCACTAAAAGACCCTATTTTTTCAACAGAAAAACCCCCACCGTTTATAAGTTCTGCTGTCAACGCGAAAACACTTTTTTTCGGTGGGGTCATCGGAAATGACGTCGCAATGGCTGAGTTTAAAATATTTTTCAACCAAAAATTCAAAAAAAATGTTCTTTAAATATGTATCTTAAATACTATAAAAAAATTGAATAAGAATTCCATTTTTTATATAGAAAAAAAAAATGGTTAAAAATATGCTATTTTTTCCCGGTGTAAACCCATGTAACCCCTTAATGTAATAGTACTTTCAAAAATGTTCTTTTCTTTTATCTTTATTCATTATTTTATAATAATTTTCTTCTTTTTTTTCTTCTTCTTTTTTCCTACCTACCTACCTACATACCTACCCTCCTCCTCTTTTTTTTTCAATATCATTTCCAATCGTATACGTACGCGAGATTGATCAAAATTACGTTTCTATCGAATTGGTTTTACCGATCGAGATTGCGACCTTGTTTCATCTCGTAAAGAGAGAAATAGAAATTTTGTCTCGTGCTTGGGTAATCCGATAGTACAAAATTAATTACACGATTTAATCGGATTACTGACAACACACTAACGGCGTTACACACAACCGTGGGTTAACATTTTCTCATTCTGTCTACATAACAGTCAAATTTGTGAAGGAAGAACGGAATATAACGTGCGTGAGTAATCTATCAATGAATGAATGAATGAATGAATGAATGAACCTTTCTCTCTTCCCACATATCCTGCATGTTTTATATATTTTTCAACAAAAGAGAAAAGAAAAATAATATAAAAAGTTCAAATTAAAAAAAGAAATATATATATATATTTTATACATTTTTATTTCAAGTTACTATATTTCATCTAGCAAATCTTTTAAGTCGTCGAAATGTTTATCACAAAGTAGACTTCTTTCATAATGTATAATCTCATATAAATGTGCACATGAATATAATATATGTATACAGAGTCATGCATTATTCTAAATACCGCGTAATCTCTTGCAAGTACCTCCACGTTGCATTGAAGATTAATACGATAAGAATAATCTCGCGTTGGTTGAATAAGAAGAAAAACTGGAGACATATTTTAACAGGTACGAATATATATCAAGCTATATATATATATATATATGTTACCGTCAAAGCCGGAAATCAGGCATTACTAGTAAATCCTCGGCATTACTATGACTGTGAAGAGCCTTCAAACTAATTCGGAAATTGAAAAATTCTTCCAGTTTTCTCTGACATTTTTTAAACCTTTGCAAATCAATTTATAACTTGATATGGTGTTCTACGCGTAGACAAAACAGTGTACTTTAATTTAATATAAAAATCATTAAAATCCGCTTACTATAAGTATACAAAATATTTACCAAAACTTTTCAAAGAAATTGCAAAGATGGACAATTTACAGCATTGCATTCTCACATTTTCTGAACCTTTGCAGATCAATTTATAACTTGATATGGCATTCTACGCGTAGATAAAAGAATGTACTTTAATTTAATATAAGTTTCATTAAAATCTATTCACTTTTAGTATAAAAACTATTTACCGAAACGTAGTTTCCTAATTGGTATTACGAAATCAATGAATTATTTTATATAATATGAAATAAAAAAGAAATATAATATGAAAAATATAAAATGAAATATAATATGACAAAAAAAAAAAAACAAAAAAAAAGAAAAACGATCACATAAAAATTTCTCGATTATTTTTATAATAAATGACAATAACATTTCTCATAGCAATATTTATTTCGAATTTTGTACTAACGCAATTGACAAGAAAAATTATTTCTATATTAAACCGTAAACTTTTCAACCGCGAATCAAGTATAATAATAATACTCTCGATCACTGTTATTCTAACAATAAATTCTTATTTTCTCTCTTGCGTCACAATCATTTTTATATATCTTACGAATAAAAAATTACAGATAAATATATATGGATCTCGTAATGATCATATTTTTCAAACATTGTAATCAATATTCAATCAGTATGACGTATTATGGCTACGTTACACGACACGAAGAGACTACTATACATTTACGTGTGTGTGTGTGTATGTGTGTGATAGTATAAAAACGTCGTTTACCGTTATCACAATGATAATAATAATTCCATATACTCTCTCATTTGCAATCGATCGAGTTTATTTACATTTATCTATTCTTTTTTTCTCTTTTTCTCTTCAACATTTAACGATAGAAAGTATAACACGAAATGACTATAGGATACTTAATAAAAAATATAAATGTCATTTTTCTTGATCTTATAGTAATGGTTTCTCGTGGTCGTGGTCTATTGGACGAAAACTCTTTGCAAAAAAAAAAAAAAAAAAAAAGAAGAGTCGTAACAAAACTTTTAACGATCGGAGGTCGAACGATGAAAAAATCGAGAGAGAGAAAAAAAAAGAAAAAAAAGAAAGGAAAGAAAGATTATACTCAAAAAAAAAAAAAAAACAAAAACCGGTCGACCTTTCGTCCATTTTTTTTCGAATAAAATTTCTGAATCTGGTTGGTGTGTGGACCTTGAAACGAGTATCTCGAAGTAAAGAACTGTCGCTAAAATTTCATTCATTTTATTATTTCCTTTCTTTCCCCCTTTCATTCCTCCCTCTCTCTCACTCCCCCCCCCCACCCATTATCTTTTCAACTTCAACTCATCAAATATTTTTATTTCAAGTTACTTATTTTACAATAAAAGATATAATACAAGAGCTAACACACGATTTGTACGAAAAGAATGGAAAATAAATTACATATCGCGGTTGAATTGTTGTTTAAAAAAAAAAAAAAATATATATATATATATATAAGCGCGAATTCACCTCGTTTGTTTTTTTGTTTGTTAATAAAAAAATAATAAACGGATACGGGTGACACAAAGGATCCGTCGTCTAATGGAAAAGGTACGACCCTGACACACATAGATCTCACGAACGAATTACAAAGATGTTTTTGTTTTTTCTTTTTTTCTTCTTTTAATTGCAAATGTACGATGGGGGAAAAACGAAACTTTATCTCTCTCTCTCTCTCTCTCTCTCTCTCTCTCTCTTTCTTTCTTCCAACTGAGAAGGTAAGAAAACCGTAAAGCTCAGTTCTTTTAAAACGAGCAACTCTGTCTAATGAATAATAAATTCGAAGTTCAATTTACCGGGGCACGAAGGAAAGTTGGCGGTATTTAAATTTACCTACGATTCTACGGAACGAGAAGAATTAAATTAACGTGGTTGTGTTTATAGGTCGAATTAAAAATAAAAGAAAAAGAACAGAGAGAAGAAGAAAAAAAAAAAGGAAAAGAAAAGAAACGAAACGAACGGAACAAAAACAGAAAGATAAATGTAAAAAAACAAGAAGAAGAAGAAGAAGAAGAAGAAGATGATGATAAAAAATAACGAGAAATTATTATACTTTTAATAATTGATCGATCTTCTTCCTTATGCAATATCAAAAATTTATCTGAAATAATTATTAACAACACAACCCAGTACCCCGATTAAATCTTGTCAACCTAATTTTTAATGAATAATTTTAATCTCAAAAATATGAATTGTCCGTAGTTAATCCAATTTGTTTTAACATACCAGTCGCGAAATGAAAATAAAAAAAAAAAAAATAAATAAATATACACAAATACTTGTATAGTTAAAAATAAATGAAACAAAATAATGCGACGTTAAAGTTAAATAAATTTTTGCAGATTGGTCTAAATAATAATTACAAAAAAAAAGGGATGCGACGATAGGAATATCTAAGAAAGGGAGGAATGCATATTTTTTTGAACGTCGAAAAAGAAAAAAAGGAAAAAAAAATAACAAAGAAATTGAAAAAGAAGGAAGCACAGTTATGTAAGTAGAAGGAAAGAAATAGCGCACCGTTCCGAGTTAACGCACACAAGACGCATGTGGAATAACGAAGAAAGAAATAAACAGAATTCAATTTAAGTGTCACGCCTGACAATTGCAACGGCACACTCTCTCATGGTAGCGTAAATAGTTGCTATGAAATCTACTTAGGTCGTTTCAACCGAAGTATACACACACACACACACACACACACACACACACACATACACACATACATTTTCTTTTATCTTTACTTCTACCAAAGATTAATCTCATGTCAGTGCAATTAATGTATCACCCCTCCTCCCTCCCCTCCCCCTCCCACCCCACCTCATCATCATTTATGAACTTGACGTATGTTACATATAAAAATGACAAAAAAAAAAAATGAAAAAAGAAACTATACGAAGCGTATAGTTACATTAGAGTGAAGAAAATGAAGAAGGTAGAAGAAGGTAGAAGAAGGAAGAAGAAAGAACGGAAGAACGAAAATGAAAAAAGTAGACGAGAAGAGAATGTAGATGTGCGTATAGAGTCGTGGCCGAGGACGACCTGGAACCGTTACCAAGAGACTTTTCGAGACCAACAGCAGTCTCTTTCCAACACTCGTTGGCAAGCCTTGATCAAACACGAACTACTTGTAATTTATTACTAAGACGAAGAAATCATTTCGATCATTTTCGATTGACAAAGAAATTTTTAAAGTCAGGAAAACTTGAATAGAATCAAAACCCGAATTTTTCTTATCAATTTTTATCGGTGATACGAATTTATATAAAAAAAAAGAAAAAAAAACAAACAAGAGAGAGAAAAAAAATCATCGAGAAAGATGAAGCCAATCTACAATTTTCTAATTCTATTATTTCTACGAGAGGTAAGCGTTCGTTTAAATACTTTTCATATAATTTTTTATTTATACGCGGAGTAAATTGCTCTTTCGTGAACACAAAACAAAATTATATATTATATTCTTTTATTTTCTTTTACTAAACTGTATATATATATATATATATATATATATATTATTTTATAAATGACGTTATAAAAGAAGAAGAAGAAGAAGAAGAAAAAAAACAAGAAAGTAGTGTAAAAAGCAAATTAACTCTACGCGACTTGCTAATGAACGTAATTAAGTTCCAACCAAGTTTCCTATTCTAATTCGAGTGCGTGTGTGTACCTTTTTTTTTAATAGTGATTAAAGTGTAATTCGGTCGAGTATAATAATACAATGTTTGAACAATTTGTTGTTTTCCGGTTAACAGTCAAAAATTCTCTTTTATTATTCAAAAGAACTTTGTTAATTTATTTAATACAATTTTATATATATATAAAACGAAAAAAAAAGTCAATAGAAATTAGTAGAAATCTTGTTTGAAATGTTCTCTATGTATTTATCAACGTTCGTTCGTTCATCTATCGAAAAAGAGATAGAAAAAATGATTTCTATCGATCATATATATCATATGTGAAAAAGTCATAAAAGTAAATAGTTATCTTTTCTTGTTTCTTTTATCAATTAAAAAAAACCATCCTATGTGAGTTCGTATCCACTTTTGAGTAATTAATCGTACAATTAATTAAAGTGCTTGGAATGTAAATAAAATATAAAAATAAAAAGGAGAATGAGAGAGAGAGAGAGAGAGCTAATTAACGAAGTTATATGGTAGAGGAGGATGCAACGTCAAAATCGGACAACTACGTTTCCAATTTCAATGAAAGCATTAATTAAAAGTATATATATATATACGTATGGGTTTTCTTTTTTTTTTGTGTGCAGGCATTCGGTGCGGTTGCTAGGAAACCCCCAGCTTTTTCAAATCCAGTCTATTCGAATGCATATCTTCCAGCAGCTATGCAGGTAAGTGCAGTTTTGTCTGTGATCTTAAAACAATAATAATTATAATAAACTAAAAAAATGTAGAAAGATAGAAATAATATCGAACTAGTGGATTTCTATAGATATTAAATTAACGCAAATTGATAATAATTCAGGTGATATTTCATGCCGTGGATCAATTAAAAATAATTCAAGCGGATAAAACAACCGAAACTACGAGCATTACTTCTTCTTCTTCTTCTTCTACTTCTTCGACCGTACAAATAAACGAACCTACTACCATAATCGATGATAATATTAAAGAAACCGAAATAATGGAAATGGCTGAAACTGTTACGGAAAGTTCTAATAGTAAAAGTGAAGAAAAATTGTATAAAGTCGAATATCAAACGACTTTGGGTAGCTTATTCGGTGATCAACATCAGGAATTACCAGAAGCTCACGAGGAAACGCCGGAAATGAATTATGCAACTCCGGAAACGAATTATGAGAAAGCTGAAATGGCCGAGGAAGACACGGTAGAAATGAATCAAGAGCTTCCGGAAATAAATGAAGAGGAATCAAATATCGATTCGAAAGATTTGCCATCGTCTACTACCACTACCACCAATAAAATATCTCTAGAAAACCAACCCAGCATCGATAGTATAGTAGAAGGGATTTACGAGATTCTCAAACCCACTTCGACGGATATTTATGAAGATGGGTACGATGAGTATAACGAAAACTTAAAGATAGACAAAATCGAAGAAGAGGACGATGAAAACAGGTAAATACACAAATTAATATATAATTATTATTATTCTAAATAAAGTTCACAAAAAGAACAAATGGAAAATTAATTTTTAATTATATTATGATAATTCTGTTAGTCCATTTTCTCAAAGAAGTATTTTAACAGAATAATTGTTAAATATATATATATATATATACGTTTGTGTGGGTCTAACATAGGAAATTTTTATTTCCTCTTTTTTTTCGCATCGAAACTAAAAATACTTTAACCCACGATCAGATATAATAAAATAATTTAAATTAACGAATATATATACGGAAATTTGTAAACGTTATATATTTGATCAATTAAAGATACTTCGACTAATGAAAAGTAATGAGAAAAATTATAAAAGAAAAGAAAAGAAAAGAAAAGAAGAAACAACAAAAATATTGATAAAATTAGAAAAGATTGATGGCGCGCGTGATTGCACGAAGAAAAAAGTTTATTCCATTTATCGAGTAGTGCAGGATATTGCGAATCTGATAAGTATAAATCGATTTCTCGTACTCTTTTGCGCCTTTCCACGGGATTGCTTGGCTGCCTAGCAGACGTACACGATGAAATATCGTAACGTTCCTTCTTCCCATCCACCAAAAAACCAATCAACCAACCAACCAACCAACCAACCAAACTTGTCTCTTATTTTCTCTTCATTTTATTTCAATACAATATATTTTACCGCCAGTTCGCGTAAAATTTTCTTGAAATTCGTTCGAGCATAAAATAAAACAAACATTTCTCAAATATTTTCAAAATCATTCAAATTACAATTCGCGAAAAGAAAAAAACAAAAACCCTTTAACCCACCCATCCCGTATTTTCTGATATAAGCATGAAGTTTATTTAAAGAAAAAAAAAAAAAGAAGATGTCCCGATTCTTGTCCTAAAAAAAAAAATGAGAGAAGAAGATGATGTTTAACGACGTCGTTTCTCAAAGTTAAGGAGTCCCTGAGTAGAATAAAAATAAAAAAAGAAAAAAAAAGAAAAGGAAGAAAAAATATATAAGAAGTAGACTTATCTTCTCACCTTGTTTTAGGTTCACGATGCTAGGGGAAAAAGTGACACAAGTACCAAGGCCAAGCTTGAGCAACTACTTAAAGCGTGCCAAAGTAGAGCCTAGGGCATCTTTAGTGCAGTTGGCATCTCTTTACGATGCCCTTGGGAAAGATGCAAGGAAGCAGGGTTATGGTAAGTACTTTGGATACTCCAAAGAAGTCCTGCAGGTGCTCGAAACATCAGCCGAAGGTGGTCTAGGATCCCAATTGAAGAAATTATTGGACAAAATCCTTGAAAGGAATGAACTTACAAGGGAAGATGCTAAAAACAAGACAAACATGATCATACGCGATCTTCAAGAACCTGCTAGCGAAATTAGCAAAGATCTTAGAAATCTTTTACCACTTCGTTTCTCATCTTAAATATTTTCAGTCTCTCTCTTTTTTTTTTTTTGTTTACTATCTAAACGAGAAAAAAAAGAAATATTTTAAATATAATTATTGATAAGATGAGAACGTGTTAACCTGTTGACTGTGGAAGTATTTTGTCTGATTAATTAAAAACATAAATTCGTTTCAATGATCACATTGTGTTTTGACGATACGTTAAATTAACCGATCATTTTTTAAATTTTAAATCGTCGATAGGGTAATCTTTTCCTTCTCGCGCGCAGTCAACGGGTTAAAATGTTTAATACATTTATCAATTGTAAGATTAATAAGAGAAAGAAAAAAAACAAAACTAAAGAAAACGAAAAAGATTGATATCACCTTGTTGAATTAAAATGACGAAGGGCTAGAACGTGAACCGAATCGTTATTACATTTACTTGAAATACTCTAACCAAGTAACCAACAAAAAATGAAGGTACGTTAAAACCCTTCCGAATGAAAAATGACAGGATTTCGATATTAATTTATTACGAATTAATATTTCTACGTTAAACTAAATTAAACCAAATTACGCGTCGATCTACGAACAAAATAATTATTTCATTATTCTAATATTATCATTATCATTATTATTATTATTATTATCATTGATAAGTTAATTAAGTGTATCTAATGAATAAATATAATAATAATTATATTAATTGATATATATTTAAAATCTATACGATTAAATAATTATATACGCTGACGAATGTATTATTGAACAAAATTCGGAATAAACGATTGACATACACCCTTCGCGTGCATCATAGATCATTTGAAACATAAATTTTGAATATAATAAAATCCCTTATATATTTCTTTTTCTTTAACTCTTTCTATCAATATTCTATTAAGAGTTTTGACAGGTCGCTGTTACTTACAGGCAAACGTTCCGCCTTTCAACGAGAAAGTAAACATCTTCGAAACATCTGCGTCTCGTAAAAAAGCAAGCACCAGTATAGTCCACCTCTCGTTCGATATTTCACGTGTATGTAATACGTCGTCAGCATCTCTAAACGTTTATCCTATATCCTATAAATCTTTTCCAGTAGTTCCATTATACTGATCGCAGTATATATCGTTCAAAATGTCTTCACTTATCCTATGAAAAATGATGTCTCATACGGGATTGACTCATATCTTTAAATATTAATAAAGATTCTTCAAAAGAAGTATCGTCTAATAAAAATGTCATTGTCTAAAAACCACAAGTTGGTTTTAAGAATCAAATAAAACAAAATATACACAATTTCTTATATTATTATTATTATTATTTCTTCTTTCTTTCTTATATTATGCACACATATATACATAAAAATAATAAAAATTAAATTAAAAAGTAATCGTGTATGTGTGTGTATTAAAAAAATAATAAAACTTATATATATTTTAAATTTATAATGCATGTTATACGTTTGATGTAAGACTTTTAAACGCATAAAATAAATTTTCCGACCACGTAAATAAAAAGATTGCGTAAACGTTTGAGATAATATATATATATATATATATATACATATCTCGTGTTTAAAATAATAGCAAGTAAATCGAGGGTAACGTGCGTGTGTGGTGCTCATTTAAAAATGATTATAATTGTAAAAAAAAAGAAAGAAAGAACAAAACAAATTAACAATTTTTTTTTTCGTTCGAATAATCGTCCTATAGAAAAAGAAATGAAATCAATTATTCGGTTGAATAAAAATTGATATAATTGAATAAATACGATTGATATGGGATTTTAGTATTATTTTGAAAAACCACCTTGACCCATCGTCGAATCCAAAGATCGATATTGTTTAATACTCCCGGGATTATGAGTTGGCAAAGACTCGACAATGAGGCACATCGATACGTGCTTGGAATGGCCAAACAATGTATTGACTAATTCTGTGTCAATTGATGTATCCAATACTCAATGGCGCGGGCAAAGACAATAAAGATGAGTACTAACGTTGTATCGAAAAAAATCAATTGTTACGCTTTTGGATTGACCGAAGGTATAAATTGATTTTGAAACTGATTGAAGACTTCAGTTGAACGTTCCACCGATCTCCACTGTGGGTATACTAAATTACGTTAGATATCATTTTTAACATCGAATATATCAAATTAAATCAAATTATTACTGATAATCATAAATAAATAATAAAATGAAATACTCGCTGGGATACTGTTTGCTTCTTTGCGTAAGTAATCACACGATTATCCAATTTTTACAAACTACGTTTAACTTTAAATTGTTTTATTTGTATCGATAAGATAATAAATTTGTGTTCATATTGTCAAAGTAAGTTCAACTAATTGTCTCTTAGGTACTCTTTAAAATTCTTTACGCAATACTATAATAATATTCTACGTTAAATTAAATATCTCAAATATAATATCGATTATTCGAATCTTACCATTAAAAAAGTTTATTATTTACGCGGATAAATAAATTTTAATAGAATATTTTTATCGATTTGAAAATTAATTATGTCCGTGACAAATTATCCTAAAAATCAAAATTTTAAATACGAATAAGAATACGATTAATTTCTAAGCTTATATAAGTATTATTATATCTGGATATTACTTCGCGTTCGTATGTATATCTCGTAATAAGAAATAAAAAAAAAATAATTGGAAAATGATGTTTGAATTTTAACGACAACATTAAGCGAGTAACCACGCGCGTCAAGGAACGTGCCTCGTAAAAATGGACACTAAAAGCACGAAGCTAAAGAAAATGGCGTTTGTATCGCGCTTACGCTCTCATTCAAATCCTTTTTACCTTCCTATCATCGGCACGTTAAGATTAAATAATCTAAATTACAAATAATTTTAATTCGTATATATTTTTTAACAGCTCCTGTTAACGAGAGTACAAACGAAACCGCAAATAACGAAATTATTTCCAATCGAAGAAATACCTACGAACGATCATCGTGAAAGCAACAACGAGACGAGATTGTTCGACAAGTTGCTTGGAAAATTACGTTCAACTTACAATTTTGTATTTCATAAAACCGACGACAATGCTAATAATAAGACAAACGTCAAAAAGATATCCGTCGATAAAACACCTAATTCCAATTTAGAGGCGTATAAATTTAATTGGAATAATCCTAATTTAAAATTAACGAAACAAGTGGAAAATCCAAAAGAAGAAGAACCCGTATATCAAACAAGAATACAAACACTTTACGATACTCCAAGGAATGATAGATTCGATGAATTGCAACCTTTAGAATCTTTGGAACCTTTGATGCCATTAGATTTCAACGAAGAAGAAAACGAAAATATTAATAAAAACGACGAAGTCGAATTCGTAACGCCGGCAACGAATTCAAATTTTTCGGCAACTCTCGGTCGCCATTTCGTAGAGTGGCTCGGTTCTCTTCTAGGAATTTCTTACGGAATTTATGCTAAATTTACAAGAGCCATTCATAATAACAACACGCTTTATTAGGGTCAATGGCATACGCGAACACTCGGACTTTTGTTTTTTTCTTCTAACATTGAAAAAGAAGAACAAACAAATTGATAATAAAAATGATTTGTGTATGAAGTTATATTATATTACAAATAATTTTATACTCACTTGATGATTAGTGTGCCATTTCCTGTAATATAATAAACGTTATTTTAATAAATAAACAAATATATAAATGGCCTTATACAATGTATTAAAAATTGTCTTCTTATTACACGCTTTTATTAAAAAATATGTCAATCTGAAAAATACATATATATATATATATATATATATGTATATATACAAGTTACGTCTTTTATTTTATTCATTTGTTTCGTGTTTTGGCAATTTAATCAAATTTCCCTTTCCTCGATTCATTCTTAAATTAGAAAATTATTCGATGAACAATTTTGTATTTCTTATAGCTAGGACGAGTAAAAATTCGTTAATTAGATTATTAAAAAATGGTATACAAGATTAAACGCATTCGCTATCGGTCCATCCTGTGGAAGTATGTTTAAAAAATCAATTAAAATGACTGAAAATAAAATATAAATGATCCTAATGAAATACTGCTATCTTATAATCACTAGTACACCTAAAGTCTTTGGTTCTATAATAAAACGTGATAATGACATTTTGTATTGCGCCAATATCTATCACGATTGTTATTTACAGTTTCATATATATATGTATATTTGTATAAGTATAAGAATATCATAAAAGGCAGACTCAATAAGCCTGTCGAGTAATCGGAAGTTCTTTGCGAATAAGAGACACTCTCTGTCAAGAAAATTAGAAATTCTATTGATAATGAAAAATGTTTATAATGTGTTTAAAATGACAATATTTCTTCAAAGTGTCTCTTTTCTTCAAAGCTATTACAATTATACGGATCCATTTCAATTTATCACATATACAAGTATTTTGAATCTCTGATTTTAAAGAAAAAAGATAAAAATTGTATTTGTACATAGATGAATTAGATAAAGCATTTCGAGTCCTCGTTCTCTCTTTCTAAATTTTATAAGTTTTTGTTTTTTCAAAATAAATATAAATTTATCACTTTAATCTATAATAGCCTATAAATAAAAAATTAATATTAACCAGTTAAATGCGTTCAACGTATATACTCATCGTGTAACATATTATATTCATTTTAATTCCGCACCCTTCGGTGATCTTTTGAAACTATATTCCATAGTTTTAACTGGTTAAAAATAAAAATAAAAATAAAAAGATAAAATAAAATATCACTAATTTCTTATTTAACACGTTAAGCGTCAAGCCTCTTTTCTTTGGCCTTCCATTCAGATTACCATAATCCATCTAATAAAAATATGCCAAAATGCCAACAACTGTTGACCATTCGAGGTGAATGCATAGTGTAAGGCCGGTCCATAGAAACTAGTGTGGCGTTTAACATGTTAAGTAATATTGTAATTAATTACTCGATAATCATATTTGTTAAATGATTTGAGAAATTGACTCATATTAAAACGATCATTATGCAATATATCAGCCTTTGTATAGTTGTAATTAAAATTCACGAAATTTGATTAGAATAATATTAAAAAACTATATCGTATATGCATGATACAATTAATGTATGGTGAATATTTCTAAATTATTTATACCAATTAATTATTAATATCTAAAGACAAATCGAACAAATCCAATTTCGGACATTAAATATCAACGAACATTTGTTTTCCTAATAACGCATAATTAATTATATCTACGTACATAATGTACATTGTGTACTTGCAATGGTACTCCATTATAATCAGAATGCATCCTAATGACAAAATGATTAAATGATTCACTTAACTAAGGATAACGTATTGAATATTGTTAGAAATGTAATACTAGAAGCATAAAGTTAATGCTTCATTATCTTATATCTAATGAAATCTAGTCTCCCCTCCCCTGTCACATCACATCCTTTATTTAACACGTTTCTTTTACGTTTATTTGCAGACTAGAATCAAAATGCACTTTTGTTGGTTTATTTGGTTAAACTAACATACGTACAGATTATTATGATAACGAACTCAGTCAAAAATTGGAAATAATTCATTTGATAATTTATTTTATATAATATAAGGATACGCGACGAAATTATTAAAAATATAAAATAATTATATAAATATTTATATATAAATATAATTAAAAAATGTATAGGTAT